GCCCTCACATGACCCCGGCAGCAACTCCTGTGGACAGCTGCTGGAAGCATCCCAGAGATACGAACAACATCAATGTACCCCAATGGTACAAAAATGTTCCTCAGTTAATTTCTTTACCTTAAAAGGTACAATTACCTACAGCTATATGGTACGAGTGACAAGCAAAGGTACAAACTGGTACTCTCTTTTTCTGACGGTGCATATATGTAGTGTTTTGATTTTTTATGTTGTTGAATGTGCCTGGAAGAAAACTACTGTGCCGTCTGCCCGGTTGGTAACCGAGCGAGCTGTATCTGATGTGGCATCTCATGCAATCTCCACTCACCCCGCTGATAATAAATATTTTAAATCTCTGAGGCGGAAAGTGGCTATTCTCGGAGGACTGGGGGCGCCTCCGAGGCGATCTGCCTCCCAGGCACTCACCTGCTGGTAATCTTCCTCCTGCGGTCTGAAGGTGTTGTCCACCGGTTGGAACCTTAGGTTTATGTGGGGGAAATTGTGCAGCCAATAACTCCACCATGGTGCAATATAGTCCACCCGTGTTGTAGACATTCCTGCGTCTGTAAGAGGAACCAGCCGCAGAGTTTCCGTTTTCTTGTCCTTTTTTTTCAGGATAATCTGGAAGATGTTTAGCTGACGGTCCGGTTCGCGATAGTCAACCTAAACAATGCATATAGCCTGGAAACCGGCTGCTTATACCTACAAGCGGCGACAAGAACCCATGTGGTGAAACAGATCACTTAATTCCCGCAGAAACAACGATAAAAACTTCAAAAACGTTGTGCGTGATTGACACCAAGTGCCAATAAACAGGGGATAATGTGCAAAACACAAATTAACTGAAAAAGCGGCTGTTCCGCAGCGCACTGCCAAACAGAGCCATCCTTCCTTCCCCCAAGTCACTCGCCTAGTGAGATCCGCTGCACGCTAGGAAAAGAGCGCCTGCGGGAGCGCGCTCGAATCAAGGCCACTGGGAGCGCGCTTCGGGAAAATAGAACGGGAGCGCGCAGATAAAAAAAGACCAGGAGTACTGGGGATGATTGGGAGGGTTGGTCTGGTGAAGAGGTCATTATCGGTACTGACGGAAAGGGAATACGATGGGACGCTTGGACTTTATAGGATAGATCACGGTCGACGGGGAGTATTATATATTCAGGTCATGTTAAATCTCAAAGGATGTAGCTTGGTAGTTAGATGTCTGATAGATGTGAAAAGCCGCTCTACACCCTCCCTCGTACTGATGATGAAGTGGTGCAAGCTTTTATACCAAAAGGAAAACCTATGTCCAATGAAAATGAAATAAATTGAATTTAAACTTTATTTGTAATTTTTACACTACGTGGCTTTAATCGGGGAACGATACCAGTCGGAGTACTGCTGATATTGTGATGCTTAATCCCCCGAATGATCTTTGAGCAAATATAGTATAGTATATAATAATGAAATATTTGTTCATAAATGTTTTATAGAATCAAACCATCTTCCAACGCGCACACCTACACGATGATAGATTTACTTGGCTAATCTGCCAATGACACACTGCACCAAGTGCTCTCCAGCGGTACATCACGACCATTTAGCGATATGTCCCGTATTTTTGTGGACAATTCGTATTACCCCGGTTCAGCGAACTTTATAGGGGGGGGGGCTGAGTCCCCAAAAGGTCAAATCCTAGAATCTCCCCAGATCACGACTTGGGGGGGCCCGGCGCCTCCGCTCTTCTGCAAGCGGACAGATTGAGGTCACGTCATGATCTTCATGTGAATCTTTCCAGCGTCGATATGCCGCAGGGGGTATCACTGTATTCTGATTACTTGATTAATTGGTTTACGTTAGATTTACGTTATGTAATCCTTTCCATTTTATAACGTACCTTGCACTGTGTATATACACCATTCTCTCTTTAAGCACGCAGTCAGCCGAGGATGTTATTAACTGAACCAATAAACTAAAACACAAAAAGTGTCACTGCTGACAAAAGCACGATATATATACAGGCCTGCATAAGTCATAAGACTTAGACGCGTTGCTTCTCTGTTTATATGCATAGGTATAGGTATCCCCCACCCAGACACACACACACACACACACACACACGCATATATACACACACACATATATATATATATATACATATATAAACTGAGAAGCAACGTATCTAAGTCATGACTGAATAGCTTTCTTTTTATGGGAAAATGATCGCGTTTTCACTTTCAAGCTTTTAAAGGCGTGGGTGTGAAATTGACGGGATCAGCTCAAGGCTGCCACCTTGCGGACAGCAGTGGCTAATACCTCAATAAGTGCCGAGGCAAGACACGCCGCGGTGACCCTGCGGAACAGCGGCCGGCGAATCCACACATAACCTGATTGAAAAAGATGAGTAAATATGAGGACATATAAACCTTCGCCGTGATCCTAAGCAGGATAAGTGGCTGGAAGATGGATGTATCCCGGACATACGCCCTGTCCACCACATACCAGACATACCAGAAAGCCTCGCCTCCTTAATTAGCTTGAAATTGGACAATTCCACACACACGTAACACTGAATAATATGTTTTTAAGCCCGATCGGCCCGTACGCCGCTGTGTAAGTGATTGGACCCCATTGAGACGCACTCCATGAGCGCGGTCTGTCGGCCCAGATTTCATTAAGGGTTTCATGTTAATTTAAAGGGCTATAACGCTCCATTTGGGAAATTTGGGGAAAATAAAGCGCCAGCGCACCATCCAATGGCGACGCAGACATGTCTTTTAATAATTCTTACTGAAAATTGCAAAAATGTTAATAGTGTCCTAGATGTAATGAAAATCTTAACTGCCGAGAAATGCCTTTGCAGTCTCAGTAATACAGAAACGGGCCACGCAACCCCAGGGTGATTAAAACGTTAATATGTTCGGTTTCGGGCTGACTGAACCGTCATCCACTATGGTGACAATCTACAGCAGGCAGATGTGACCTACGGCAGACGTGACACAGGAAACCCCAGTCATGGTGCCTCGACAAGCAGTGTAAACACCCCAAATTTCATGCGGAATCCTAAGGTACCAGCTAAGTGTTAAAAGCCATTTCGAAGCCCTTCGTAAGGGAACCTGCAGTCAGCACGTTTAAAACGAGCCGTTAATCTGGGCGCTACCTGGGGATCGCTTCCAAATATGCGTCATAGCATAGAGAAATATGATACAGCAAAACCTACTCAGCCATTAAAGATACGTTTGCCCAAGTTTAGTGTTCAAGCTTGTGCAGGGAGGAAAACCATCCGTGCCTCATGTCCATCGTCATTAGGGTGAAGCTGAAGGCCTCACCTGAAGCCCAATGCACGTTACACCCCCACTAACTTGTGGCACTTTGCTTGACAGGGCAAATGTGCAACAGAGTGCAAATGATGTACACTCACCTAAAGGATTATTAGGAACACCATACTAATACGGTGTTTGACCCCCTTTCGCCTTCAGAACTGCCTTAATTCTACGTG